ACGGACTTCGGATGCAACAGACAAAATCTGCAGGCAAAATAACAAAAAAATCTGCAGGAAAAAAAACTTCCAAATCGTCAGCGATGTATTTCAAAATTTGCGGGCTTAGCGGAATGAGTCGTATTAGTTCTCAAAGTGACCGCTTGGCAGCGGTGGCGGGTTTTTCAATTGTAATCAAAGATGGGTGTACAGTATATAAAGTTCGTGAGATTAGCGCGTGCGTGAGAAAATAGCTATTAGAAATCAAATGTTTTTGTTGTTTTGATTAATATATCTATATTAAATATATATTTATCTATGTTATATATACATGTTCATAGTATTTACATTATGATCATAACTATAGCGGTTTTATAACTCAAAAATAATCCTTTCCCATTTACGGACAATCAGCTTTAACAGACAACCCCATCCCCCTATTAGTCCGTTGATGAGAGGTTTGTCTGTATATACATATATATAATGTAACGTTCAACCATTACCAAGCAGACCCTGACCTTACACTTATCATGTTGGATAGTTGCCTTGAATACCTAGTTGGACTTAAGCTCACCCCAGACCTCAAGTGAAACATATATACAATACATCGTTAAAGATGCTGGAAAAATGGTCGTTTCCTTGTACCGCTCCAGTAAGTAACTGACTCCTACAATGTTCTTTTTTTTAGAAGAACCGGATCAAACCAAAAATAAAGTATTTCTGCCACATCTGGGCTGAAGGTTCCCTGTCTCCACTTACCTGCCTTGATAGAGTTGAAAAGCGTCTACGCGGTCGTGTGGGTGATGAATTTCTTTACTCCATGCAAGCCCTTTCCCACAGACGAAACGTCGCAAGCCTCTCGCTACACTATCTCTATCTCTATTGCAAATGTTTTGACGGGCTACATTCCTCAGTTCCACCATCTTTGACTGACGCAGCTAAGACCCGATTTGCCATATATACTGGGACGAATGATCCTCAGTCCCTTCGTATTCCATTATTAAGAATGAAATTCCACTCAGACAGATTCTTCCCAAAGGTTCTTCTTTGTAAATTACAAAAATGAAATATCGGATATTCTTGCTCGGTAGACAGATTCAAGAGTCAGATCAGAGAAGGTGAATTTAAAGATGGCGGACTATTAATAAATATTGCTTGAATTAAATTTCACTGAAAATTATTTGCAATCAAATGATTATAATGATCGAAGTGAATGGCAAAATTAAAGATTCAGGAAAAAAAATGATAGGTTCCGAGTGACGGGCCCAGATGGAAAGAATTCTGTAGCATCAAATTTGTGTATCCATAGGGCCTCCATTTTGAAAGATGGTTATGGTTAGAAAAGAGAATTATGTGTAGAAAAAGTTTAGTGCATCATTCTTGGAGAATATTATTTCTGTTTAATATCATTGATTGGTTGGTTGGAGTCAATAAATGTAGAATAAAATAATTAGATATAGAAACTTTAACATACAAGCTAAGGAACTAGAATATTTTACAGAAGACGGTAAATGACGCACAAAAACAAAACAAAAAACCTCTCCCTGAAATAAGAAAATATTTAGAAGTATAATACTCATTTTTGTAACGCTAGACAAAAATTAATCTTTTTCGCAGTAATATTTTTCATCAATAAAAACTCGGCTTTCTTTTATTACTGTTTTAAAGAGATAGAAAAGTCAGTGGAAAATATTGTTTTGGATCAGCAAGAAAGAGAAAAAGAAACATTTTAATTTATTCATGATTATAATTTTGTACGGTATAAAATATGGACAAGTTATGATCAAAATTATTAATGATCTACGAGAGTAGCTTGCAAACCAATGTTAAGCGATATGAATTCAGGATGGTAATGATTGATGACCATTCCAGTAGCAATGGGGAAAGTATTGTAGTGGTGGTGTGGTGAATTCGTTTTGCATAATAGATATTAAATGAAGTTATCTGTTGTGAGAATTTCTTTTTGAAAGAACCTCAGATCAAGTAATAAATAATTTAGATGTGTTCCCTTCGAGAATGTTTTTCAGCTGCTTATTTTTTTACTGTTATCAACGTTCCTTTTTAGTTTTTACTCTCTCTTTAAAACTTCCACATTCATAATATGTTCTGTCCATGGTATTCTCAAAGCTTATCGGTATTTCGGTCACATTAGCCCTTTTTTAAAATTTGTATTGCAGTTGCCTGGCATTCACGACTATATAGTTCAGTAAACATCACACAGCAGTCTATCACGCTTTTTTTCTGTTTAATGTCATTTTTCGATATCTTAATATAGCGGTCACCAAATTTTTTCACCGAGGGCCAGGTAACTGAGAGAATGACAAGCATGGACCTGATAACCATTTTGTTCAATACAATACACTGAATGCACAAAAATAAAGACAACAGACTTATTTACTAAAAAGTTATCCAAAAAGGCAACAATAGCAATAAAATATTTATATCACACCAAGTGCACACATATCCGAATCTCACAAACTAAGCAGCACAAAAGATTAGTGAGATTTGTGAAACTGGCGTTTATCTTTTAAGATATAATTAATATTTGTTTTGGTATTGTTGCATCCAACCAAGACAAATGATTTCAAATGTTCATCAGTCAACCACGTTACATGTGCTGACTTTACATACTTTAGATTTTATAAGTTCAGTCAAAATATATAACATAATTCGCTGAAGTCAGTCATTTTTATAAAGACGGCACTCTTCAAACCGGTTTAAACACAGCAATGCAAATTAAAACATATTTACTGCAGCAGGGTCGTAATTGCTTTTCTTAGAAACTTCATTGCAGGCACTTACACAAAAAGCGCACGAATATCAAAAGTTGTAAAAAAGTCGGCGATTTTTTTTTTATTTCACTGATTTTCCTAAAACTTATATAAATGTCAGATGGAAAAATCAGATTGGACAAATTTTGGTATTTTGCTAACATTTATTTTAATTTTTTTCTACATAGTAAGTTTAACTAGAATCTATTGATAATTCTATATAAATAATTATATTTTAGCTCATTTGTGGCACAGTGAAGTGACGAGCCGGATGAACTGATATCGGGGGCCGGATCCGCCCCGTGGGCCGTAGTTTGGGTAACCCTGTCTAAATACGTCACTTCGTTTCTCAAAAGCATTTTCGTCTATTTCTATTCGAATTTCTATGTAATAAATATTAATTAATTAATATTATCTTACTAATTATGCTGTTATTAATACTAATGTTATCTTGTTAATCATGTTATTATTAATGTTATTAATTAATGTTTCTGGATTTCTTTTTAAATAACCTCGGGTCAATCGAAAAATAATTTGGATTTCTCTTTATCATTATTGTTGACGTACAAATTTGTACTGCATCATTAGTTTTTATTTCTGTTTGTCCATATTTTTCGAGGATGATAATAAATAAGGGATGTGTAATGGATAAGGACTCGGAATGAGAAATCGGAGAGCCGAGTTCGAATTTCAGTCAGGTTCGTTATATTCATTTACGTGCAAATCCGTTTCTTCTATGGATTAAATAACAAGACAGACTGGATCCTATGGCAACCAATCTACCTATACCTACCACTATCGCAGAAAAAAATGGCAACCAAGTGCGAGAAAATCTTTGCCTAGTTAGTCATGAATCGAAAGAGACATGATCGCCCAAGTGTTTATCACGTATGAAAGTTAACTAAATATAAATAAATGCTACTAAAATAAACGCATAAGTTGCGTAAATAATAGAATTACACCACTACTGTCCAAATATTAACATTACAAGACTTGATAATAGAAGAGGATATAGTGTTCATGTCTAAACAAATACCCTAAACCCAATTTGAAGCCAGTTCATCTCTTCAATGTTTAAGTGATGTCCATAACCATTTTTCTAAAAAAAAAAAAATAAATAAATAATTAAACATTAAAAATTAGATATTATCCATTATTGGAAAAAATCAAGAACTCTTATCTCTTATTAACTGTTATAAATATTCTCTTTTAAAATCAAAAAACTCTTATAGAGAAAATACGCAGAGGAGTGGGCTCTGATTATTAGACCAGTAAATTGTATCAAAAGCATGTATCAAAAGCAATGAATCAATCCTTGGTAATAATATATTAAAGTCACTAAATATTTATAAAGTTCCAACTAGCCAATGGATTGCTTCTTATTACAGATAACTGTCATAATTATTAGCATATGGTAAACATTGAGGCATCAATTCCACCGATTTAACTAGAAACGTTCAAGAGGAAAAGTTAATGCATTACAGTTAAGGTTAAACAATCGCGGGAAAATTATTTTGTTGTGGCGATGAAAAAAGCGTTGTCTATGCTGTCAAATATGGTATTTCTCTTGCAAGGTTAAAATATTTTTTAAAAGACGAAACTTAAAGATATACAAATAAATCCCTCTCTTTTGATGTTTATTAGAGGCTACCATCTGTTTTTCAGAATGGCAGAGACGAAGGGTTTGAAACCAAGATTTCTTATTATGTTAAAAATCCTGGTTTTATCATGAAAGGTAAGTACATTCCTTAGGCAACGATTTTTATTCTTTAATCCGTAATACTATGCATATTTTATATTACGACATTATATTTAATTACGATAAAGTTATATTTTTTACTAATGTTGACCCTATACAAGGGCCAACGGTCACTAAGGTAAAGAGTTACAAACGTAAGGAATAAAATCAGAGGAGAGCGAATGCAAATCTTCGGATTATATGATAGGGAAAATTCTCTGGAAGCAACTCCTGGTTGTTGTTTTTTGCTTAACGGTATATTAACACCTCTATGGGTTATTTAATGCCGAAATCTAAATATTTTATATGCAGTTTTTTTCTTGAGATTATAATAGTTTTAGTGATACAAGCCTTACTAATTAATCCATAGCTGGGAGAGAAGAGGTGGATATCTTTCCCTAAGGTTTTTGCACGTAAATGAATATAAGGAACCTAACTGGAATTGGAACTCGGCTCTCCAATTAACAATTCCGAGCCATTATCCATTACACCACCCACACATCAAAGCTTACAGCTCGTATTCCTAAGCCATCACCCATCTAGTTACAGACCAGGATCGATGTTGCTTATCTTCGGTGATCGTACGGGAACCGGTATTTCAACGTGATGTGGCCGTAAGCCGCAACTTCTGGGTTACATGAGCCACATGGGAACATAGTCTTACTGGAATAGGTATGGTCACCCTCTTGATTCAGGTCATGTCCACTATGTACAGCAGCCCAACTCACAGGACCTACTGAAGTGAAGATGGGCAGTAAATGGATTTCAGATCATGAACTTGGAGGGAAAGTAAAGCTTCAAAGAATAGGAATTTGTTGAGAGCCATGAACCCCACTTCCAGAAGGGATAGGGCACACGAAAGAAAATGAAATATGATTCACTTCGATCTTTCTGTATATGAAAAAAAATAAAAAGATTAATCTCAGCCTATACTTATTTATCTGCACGTTGATTGATGGATTGATTTGTCCGTTTAACGACATATCAACTCTTTATGGTTCATTTAATGCCGCAATTAATGTTTCTTGGGAGCTTGGTAGTAATTAAAATATGATATATGTTATTCTGCTTTCGCAATTGAATACATGGCAGATGACACTCAGCTTTTGTGCATATACATGATTGTGTGGACATTATTATATAGGATATTATTTCGTTTAATGTCATGAAAGTTCTTTCATGTTGGTTGTTTGGTAGTATTTTAAACGGATTTGGGTGATTGTTGGTACAATTTTTTAGTATGTACGTATTGTTGGTAATTTTTTAAATAAAAATGCATTGCTGATATTTTTACTATAAAAATGTATTTTTATACTTTTTTTTTTTTTTTTTTTGGCGGGGGGTGGGGATTTCACTATTTTCCGACAGCTGGGATCAGATGCTACCACCCCGGGTAAGAATAGACCTGAGAACAACAGCAATTAAGAGGTGCTTCCACGCTTCTCAAAACCGCCAGTCTCCCGATTAGATGCCTTGTTGCCGGATGTAGTTTATCGTCATGCTCAGGTTTACTATCTGCACGTAAACACACACACACACACACATACACACACACACACACACATATATATATATATATATATATATATTGTGTATTTAGGCAGCAATTTTTCATTAATGCATGTTTCATTAAATAATATAGACAAGTTTTGTCTATTTATTTTAAGTAAGTTTATACCAACGGCTTCCCATACTTAATACTCGTTTTCACTCTCGCCTGGTCATGTGTGACGTCACGAGCTGCAACGCAATTTTCGCTTCCGCGTCTCGTATATCGTTGCTTTGAAATTATTCATGCAAGAAAAACAGTCTACCATTATTGTTTGTCCGTACATTAGTTGATATATTGAAAAGTAATTGTCATCTTTGATAATGGCTTATGTAAGCCGAAAACTTAGACTGGATTTAAACATGTATCGATATGGTGAATTCCTTTCGTCTTTCAATGATAATGTTATTAAGCTTATCCGACAATATGAAAGGAACTTACTTAAAATAAATAGACAAAACTATATATATATATATATATATACTAGCAGTAGAGCCCGGCGTTGCCCGGGGATGTAACAGTAAGAGATAGATCAAGTATCGACCATCATAAAGACTGAAAAATGAAATTGACAAAGATTATTGTTTAAGGTTGACGGACACGCATGTCTTAATTAGTTTTTTCAAACCCAAACTCAAACAAAAACATTGTTTTCAATCGTTATAAGTCTATCGATTGAATAGAATTTTATTATAAACAATTGTCTTGTAAATGGAATTTTTAAAGCATTCTGAATGTAAAAATAAAGAAAAAAAGTGTGCAAGACAATAAGAAACACTACCTGCCAAAAAAGTGAAGTTTTGTTGAAATCGGTTGAAAAATGTAGGAAATCCGATCCCACATATGAACAAACACACACACACACACACACACACACACACACACACACACACACACAACCTGGGTTTTATAAGTATAACTCGATATGAGTTGTCCCCCTTTCATTCTGGCGACAGAATCGTGTTTTCAAATTGATTTCGTACAAAAACAATTGTGTTTTTCCAATTTTTGGCGCTGTCAGAACCACCGCAAGATAATTTTACGTAGTCCTGCGCAGTTTTGTTGAAATCGGTTGAAAAATGTAGGAAATCCGATCCAATATATAAACGTACAGACACACATACACACACACACACAATCTGCGTTTTATAATAAGTAAGATATATATCTCAAGAAATGATATGCTTACCATCGGGGAAACCACTTTGAAGCTCAGTATGCCGCAAACAGTTATGCTACGGAAACCATTATTACAAAACCGACGTCCAATTTACCTATTTAAGAAATGTTCATTTTTTCATTCGGGACCTTTAGGTAATTCCATAGCTTTCCAATAGAAAACTGTATACTTGCTATATTGACCTCACAACAACATATGACGACATCAATAGAAATTCTTTTAACCCTTTCACCCTAAACAATGCGATAATGCCACTAGGGCGCAGTGGTTACAGGGAGCGAAAGAAAATGAGAATACTTTTGTGCGGAGATGTGAGGAAAATAACTATAAAGGTCGTTCTGAACGGGCTCTCTTCAAGATCCTTTCATACGAACGCGGGGTTTCCCCAAGGGTCCTACACTACTTCTGACCTTCATCAATGATCTTCCAAGTAGGCATCTATGCAGATGATACTACCATTTAATACTGTCTGAGTAGTAAATCCGGCAGCGCTGACAAAGTTAACCTGGCCGCTGCTCTCGAAATGGACCTTCAATTAGTGGTTAACTGGGGCAGGAAATGGCTTGTAAATTGTAATGCCTCCAAAACTAAACTTCTCTCGTTTGACCACCATAGAGAAATTTTCCTGCCTACCATCAGCATGGTTGATGCTAGACTCCGTGAGAGCGTCTCACTGCACCTTCTCGGCCTCACGTTTTCAACTAACTTGAGGTGGAACAACTACATTGAATCAATAGCTGCATCTACTGCAAGCAAAGTTGATTCACTGTGTCGGGTCAGAAGGTTTCATCTTGCACATTTACAATCGTCCGTGCATTGAATACTGCTGCCATATCTGGTCTGGTACCCCTGCTGTTCATCTCAAGGTTCTCGACAAAATCCAAAATAGGATTTGCAATGTAATCGGTCCTGACGTGGCATCTCGGCTTCAGTCAATTTCTCACAGACGTGATGCGGTTTCTCTCTGTCTTTACTACAAATATTTTCATGGCAACTACTGTGACGAAGTTTTTACCTTGGTGCCCAGACTGCATAAATTTAAGCATGCTACTAGTTTGTCATCTAGGTCTCATCGTTTTACTGTTGAATATATAATATAACTGTCACGTCTACTCCAACAGTTTCGTTTCTTGCACTTCCCGGCAGTGGAACTTCCTTCCCCTTACATGCTTCCCTGATAACTATAATCTTCAAAAATTTAAATGAAACGTCAATCGACATCTTCTGTCGCCTTGATCCCCAGTCATTTTTCATCTTTTCCTCAAACCTTCCTATACCGAGTCTTTTCTCTCACTTTCACTCTCTGTATCACCCCCTTCTGCGTACTAGTTGTACTTCCGCCTTGCTTGGGGTGAAATGATTAAAAAAAATAAAAGAATAGAATTCAAGAAGACAAAAGACAGCGATTGATGATGCATCTAAATTTTTGAAGATTTTAGGCGTCAGGGAAGAGAGTTTCACAGGTGAGAAGTGCGAGAAAAGAAACTATTAAAATAAAACTGACGGTTGCATCTAGCTAGTTCAACAATAAACCGTGAGACCTGGTTGCCAATCTAGTAGCACACTTAAATTCATGCAATCGAAGCACTAAGGGGACTAGCTCATCAGAACAATTGCCATGAAAATATATGTAGAAAAGACAGAGGAAAGCCAAGTCACACAGGTGGGAAAGCTCTTCCATTAAAAACCGCCTTCCTAGTTCTAACTTCACTGAATGTCTTCCGTCATAGAGAAACTATATCGGTTCAGAAAGTCACACATGTCCGACGAGGACTTCAATGTCGACTTCTTTTTCAGGTGGGGTACAGTAAATATAAAATTAGAATTATAATCTATTTAATCACTTCCTCGATTATACTTTCCACATTTACAAACACAGATGTGAAGAGATGAGCACTGATTAGTAAAACATTCCATACCACATCCCGACCGAATTTGCTAATAGAAAACAACGTTCCTGCTTTCCCTCCCGAGGCCAGTGTATTGATAATGACAGAGTGTGCATGCTGATGACATAGGCATTCATAGTTGGATTAAGAACCATCTTGAACAAAAATATTGCTATATAGGAATAAAGTGTCGCTGCCGAAAAAGTTGGAACATAAATCGCCAGTGAGCAAACAAAGGCGATCCCATTATTGAATTAAGTTAGACCACGTCATCATAGAGGAAACGCTTAAGTAGTAAGTTGCGTGACGTCTAATTGATCGCTATTTCTATTCTATCCTCTATTACTATTCGAATCGTTATTTCTACTCTATCTACTCATACGGACCGGCATTCTCTACTCTATCCCAATACTATTTCTCTATTCAGATCACTATACGGGTTATTGTCGAGCGATTATTATCGAGCAAGTACTATTAGTGCGAGTGCTATTCGAAGGCGTCTGGCACCAGTATTGCTCAAAGCCGTTACTATAGTTGTAACTGCGATTACAAAGTCTCTACTACAACGAGCATTACGTAAGTTACAACGATAATACCGTTGGCATTACAAAAGTAGCAACAAGTGTTTGTTGACATTACAAAAAATCAATATCATCTAACACAGTGTTACAAGATATAAACCTTTCCAAAACAGAAAACAACTGGAATTAGACTGAAGGAAATGATGTCACCTGCCTTGAATCCATGATAAAATTTCAGGATGTTGCTTTAGTAAATACTAAACACTTAAAATACCTCAATGTATGGATCAATTATAACAAATTTAGGGTAAGGGATAAGGAAATTGAACATAGAATAATTTTGCCAACACTCTAAATTGCTACAAAACCAAACCCTCGAGTCATGTTCTTAAATAGCCTCACCAGATCGAGATTTTCATATGAAAGGCATACATGGCGACGAACTCATTCACAAATAACTACCAACAGTAGGAGTAGCG